GAAATAACTTGCATTAGAATATGCCTTCTATTCGAGATTTTGCGATACCTTATCACTTTATCCGTGTTTATATTTTTGAAATATTTCCTATATTCGTAAATATGTTATCAAAATCATACATTAATTATATTAAAATTACTATATACATGTAGGCCTATTTTGTTTAACAGCTGATCATACCTTGTTCTTGGGAGTACCAATACTTCACCAGGATGTCTCTGTCGTTTTCTCTTAAAACGCTCAAATTCTCAAATAGGTTTTCTTCGTTGTTTATCACTATTACTGTGTTTGCAATTAGCATTTCTTTCACACAGTTCTACAAATATATGGAACAGAATAAATAGGTTGGAAGGCTGTATCTTTAAAGAACTATTTAAAAAGAAAGTGTATAGCACATACTTTAAATAAAAAGTCCACTACTACTACTACTACTTAATTCACACTCTCTCCAGCAAAATTTCAAGCAGGCAGGATAGTGTCTGATGGCGTGTGGTATTGTTGAACGCTTTACAAAGGCATAATTTATAGGCTATGTATTTCAAATATCATTAATGTTTTAATACAAATGAGACTCAAAAATCGTTTAGCACTTTGAAGAATATGTTTTATTTTTGACAGTACACTAGCTTTCGTGCACACAGTGCACTTCTTCAGATGAACTGTGTGCACGAAAGCTAGTGTACTGTCAAAAATAAAACTACTACAAAGTACTAAACGATTTTTGAGTTTCATTTGTTATCATATCAGACTAGTACGGCACATCTATTTTTTGTTTTAATACAGTTAGAAATATTGTTTGGTTCTAATTTTTTTTCATTTTCAGTCTTGTTTTCTTGTATCTCTGTATATATGTTAACTTTTTGTCATTAAATTTACATACACTTTTCCTAGTATCTGTACATTTATAGAGAACAGAAAATAGGCCTATATATCCACATACCTTGGTCAACACAAGCAGACCGCGATTCAGTCCCATATTCGATGCATTTGCAAAATCCGTAATTATTCGTCCATTGAATGGACTGGGCATTCCATGGCATTTGGAATATAGCCCTTGCTCAGTCATAATATTTATTGTAGATGCGGATTCTGAGCTGTCATATTGCTGCTGTTGCTCCCATAGTTGTGCATCCTGGCAATGGTTCAACAAGCCTGTCGGCATTTCGTTTTTCCTATCAAGAGAATATTCAATAAAAATATTATTTAATCAAAAACATTGCTTTTGATTTAAAAAAAAAATTTGATTTTACATATTGTATAAAATATTGCGAAATGTAACAAAATGTATTAGTTTGTTACATTGATAAGAATCTACATAGTAATACAGTAGTATTATATAAAAACATTTCAATGACCTTTAATAAAATCCAAATATCACTGACCACTGTGTATGTAATTATTCATGCATCCAAGTGCGTTTACCAAATGTTTTTTTTTAACAACTATAACGCAATTTTCATGAGACATTCTTGTAAAAATAGTTACATTATTTTAGCATTTAAGCGTTTTATTGCTACAGTATTGTTTATTTTCACATCGTCTCTGTCTATTAAATACCAGTCCAATTACTTTAAAACCATTAGTCTGACTCAAAGATAGGCAGTTAGTCACTATACTTAAAGAAGCTCTTAAAAACGATTACAGTATATAAAAAACCGAAAAAAAAAACCGAAAAAAAAAAACCATATTATGTAAGAGATACAATTACACTATCTGCTCTCTCATGTTATTAAAACAACAAACCCCATAATCTTACTTGTTGTTATAAACTCGCGAAGAGCAGCTTCAGTTGTATGTTGAGGAAATCGTACTTCTGCTTCCTCCCAAGTTAGCACTTTTGTGGTCTTTAGGAATTTTCTTTTAATTTCCTTTAGTAGTTTTGTATTCCGTGCATCCTGCTCGGCCTCTTTTATAGTCCGATTACCGTCTGTCACAGATGTTAAGACAGTCAAACGATCTTCATCTGACAGACCTTGCAGGTTCATGAAAAACTAAACAATTGTAAAAAAAAAAAGGAAAAAAAATTAGTGTTTATAAATACTGTATTTTGTTAGGTTTTATGGAACTTATGTGTAAATTGTATTTGAAAAAAAAAAAGTTCTTGTTATTATATATACTTTTTCTACTAATGGGTTCCACTAGATCAAGTTTTGATTGTAGATCTATTTTGTTTTCTGGCTCATTTTCTTCTCAGGAATATTTACACTATTGCATTAATAGTCTTGAGTGCTTATGTACTTACCGACTGTTTCAATTGCTTCCCTGGTTTAGTATTTTTAACTAAGTCATTACGGTACATATGGAAAAGTTCTTTAACTTTCGCATAGCAGCGGTCACTGTATAATGCCACC